CCCCAAAACCCCAAAACCCCAAAACCCCAAAACCCCAAAACCCCTGGTGCTGAGCTTGTCAATGAAATATTATTTCTTATTTTTCTCCCATCCCTGCGCTCTCTGGTCTCTTATACTCGTCGTTTCCTTGGTAGAAGTTTTGCTGCGTTCTCACTGGTTGAGCAGTATGATCTGGGTTTTCTAGAAAAGGTTAAAAGAATAATACCGAAATATTGCTGGTTGTATTTTGAAGACACTCCTTGGAATCTTGAAGCTGTCTCTGGTTTCATGCTTGAAAGCATTTTTGAGAATCCTTGTCCTACCCTGGCGATACGTTCAGCAGGATCACGAAGCGGAAGTTTGTTCCAAGAGTAATAGTCCGGTGGTTTATTTGAGAGATTAATCAGGTTCTTCTCGCATGAAGCACATGAGAACCCTCCAAGAGGCTTTTTGGAGAACATTGCATCGTCTTCATCAGCACCTCCTCCTTGTAATCTGCTCATTACCAGATCATATAAGTTCTTCAATTGCTTTTCAAGGTTTTTGAGTGCTTTCTTAGTCTCACTTCTATCAGCAAACTGCTTTAGGCCTCTCATCAAATCCTCAATTCTTCCCAAGAGGTCATCTTTGACTTCTTCTAATTGACCATAATCAACTTTGCCATTGATTTGATCTTGATGATTCTTAATCTCTTTAATAATTTCGTTATTTAATCCCTTGAAATCATCATGAAGTCTACTAAGGTCTTTTTCTAATTTCTCAACTCTACTTTCATCAACTCCTGTTGGCATATTTTGAGTTGGCATTGTCACAGTCTGGGGTTTTGACCTTCTAAGGCTAGAAAGTTCGTTTTCAAGGTTTCCTAACTTAACTTCCAGTTTTTCAATCTTGTTAGTAATTTGAATATTAATGTCTGGAGAAGCACCAGAGTTATTAGCTCCAGACCCTCCTGATCCTCCTGATGCCTTCAAAAAGTCAATGTCTCTCGATAAATGGTCCAGCAAGTCTTTCAGTGATTTCAAGTCATCCGAAATCTTCTTCAGCTGTCCTTCGTAAGTGTCTTTGATGTCTCTCTCAAGCTGGTCTAACTCCTTCTTAGTCGCAGCTTCGGCCAGTTTCTTCTGGAGTTCCTGGATGGCCTTCTCAAGGTCTGGGAACTTTGCAAGCACGTCCTTGATTTGCTTGGTGTCTTTGGTGCTGAGGTTGCTTGATGGAGAAGCCACTACTTTGGACACGTCGCCACCAGCGTTCTTGACAGCCTCAGTCAGATTAGCAATCTCTGAGTCGAACATGTCGCTGTCAAGTTTGCCGTCAAGCAGTTTCTTGAGTTTGTCGATCTCGGTCTTATTATCATTAGCTGTGGTAGTGGTGTCGGTCAAGTTATCGTTGAGCTGTTTGCAGTCATGTTCTAGCTGTTTGATTCTGTCTTCAAGGGACTCAACATCTTCTCTTCTAGCAAACATCGAGTGCATTTCTTTCTTCCAGTTTTCAAGCATCTGGTCAATTTCACCAGCATCAGCTCCGTCTTTGCCAGCAAACACAGGTCTGTTTGCCTTTTCAACCTGGTCCATGAGGTCTTTGATGTCTCGCTCGTTCTTAGCAATTCTGTCTGCCAGCCCTGCTCCGTCTCGACTGTCTCTGAGGTCCTGCATCGACCTCTGGAAAATCTGGTAGTTCATCTTGAAGCTTTCAATGTCAGTGTTGATGCCGAAGAGTTTGTCTTCATGGTCGCAAGACTTGTTCTCAAGGTCTTTGATTTTCTGTTGCAAGTTCTTGACAAGAGTGTCTCTCTCACCGGCTTCTCTGGCCATTTTGTCGACGATGTAGTTTCTTGACCTAAGGTCTTTGTCCATCTTCTGCATCATCTGGGCCTGTTTGTCTTGGAGCCCGAGCAAATACTCGATCGCTAGCTTGATGTTGTCGACTCCACTGAGAAGGTTCGTCTACAAACAAGTCAGCACTGACAATTTGAACGGAAAAGCGATTATTGTGCATGCAAATAATGGAGAGGAAAGTAGTTGTTACCGAACCAAATCCCCAACTAATAAGGTTGTCAAATAAAGGATTAAGGAAGTCTTAAAAATTTATCATAACCCCAATCTTAATTCCCCTATCATTTCCTACCCTCCCTATAATCCAATAAATCTTACCTTAGCTTCAAGCTTAAGCTCTTCTTCCGTCTTAGCCATTTTATTCTTCTTATAATTAATTTTATTTCTTTCTCAAGAGAATTAAAGAATAAAGGGGTTTTGGGGTTTTGGGGTTTTGGGGTTTTGGGG